CAGTCCAATTTTGGCATGGCACCCCCCCCAAATAAGCCTGCCCCATTTTCCAGGAGGAGGAGGAGGGCACCGACCCCCACTGCAATATATGATTTAAAAGATGCACAGGCATTTCCACCCACTTATATTGTGAAAAATACAGTAATTTCCCCTATCCTTGAGGAGAAAATTACCTCCCTCTCTTCATCAAATTTATTTATTTTTCAAATTTATTTGCCACCAATCTGACAGTCCAGGCAACTCTGCAGGGTGCCCCAAGCTGCCTGGCTGGTGGCTGTAGCCGTAGAATGGGCAGCAGCCAAGGCAGTGGCAGGAGGAGCTGGCCCCCACCCGTGGAGTGGCTGAAAGAAAACCCTCCGTGGGACCGTTGCTTCCTTTCCTGCTGGCCAGCCCTGGGCTGGGGGCTGCCCTGCCTGAAAGCAGCCTCCCACAACCCAACCGGTTCTCGGGGTCTTTTCTCTGGGTCAAACGGCCCCCTCCTTGGAGTCAAACTCTGCCCACAGCCTGGAGTTCAATCCTGACTGGCTCAAGGATGGCTCAGGCTTCCACCCTTCCGAAGTCAGTAAAATGAGGATGCAGATTGTTGGGGGGCAAAATTCTGACATTTGTAAATAGCGCAGAGAGGGCTGTAAAGCACTGAAGCGGTATCTAAGTCTACGTGGTATCGTTATAGTACTATTGCTATTCCTTGTGCAAATGATCCAATTTATTGGATAGGATTTTGCAATGACTCTGCCTTATTTGTACCACACTTGGGCACTTATTTTAGATCTCATTTTTGTTGTTATTTACGTTTGTATGGCATCGAGAGGCGTTGGGAAGTATACAAATACTAATAACAATTCTCAGTTATGTTTTAATTTGGCATCCGCTTGAGGCAGGGGGCAGGTGTGTTAAGACTGCTTGTTATGCCTTTCATCTTGGCAGGGGGGGCTCTTGGGAAGGCCACCCCTTCCTCCACCTCCACCACCCCAGAGCCTCTAGAAAAGAGAGCCAGTCTCTGCCCCATGGATGCCTTTGGGATCCCCCCCCCCCCAGGCATCATCAGCAGTTCCTTTCTCGCCTTCAAGCCCAGTCCTGGTGGGGGCCATGCTGCTGTTCGAGCAGGGCATTTCATTCCCACACTGGACACTGGAGCCCACGCCACTCCATTCCCCAAAAGGTCAGGGCTCCATGCCAGGCATTCCCTGCCCAGGAAGACAAAGGGGCGCTGAGTCCCAGCCAGGCCTCTGGCATTGCCAGCATTCCCAGCAGAATTCCTTCACGCCTCCTCAGTCCACTGGGGACGGCAGCTCCAAAGGCTCCTTCCCACAGTGGCCATTGGGCAGGAGCAGGACCCCGGAGCAGCCGGGGCAGCCCCACTCTTCTGACCAAGCAGAGGAGTCAAGGGAGCTGGGCTGCTGCCTCCCCCTGCCTGCCTGTGCAGCCTGCCCGCTGGGGCAACTCAGAGGACCAGCCTGGGAGGACGGAGGATGAAACAGCCAGGAGGGTCTTCAGTCCACTGGCGCTGGACAGGGGTCTCTGGCAGGGCTGGGAACAGCTCGTGGGAGTGTTTGTGGTCACCAAAAGGCCAAGCAGAAGCTGGAGGGGTTGAGTGCCTTCCATGGAGCCCAGGAAATAGCTTCCAATAAGGCACAGCCAGGCCTGGCAGGAAGCCCCTGGGGGCGAGGGCAATGCCCCGTGCTTCTTTGGAGGGCAGCAGTGCAGCACGCGGCCCTCAGAGGCCTCTTCCAGCAGGAGCCCAAGTTGCCTCTTAGGCAACGGCACTGTAAGTCCCTTGTGCCTGTCCAGGGCTGGAAGCCAAGACTCCCCAGACACGGGCAGCAAAATAAAAGTGGACCCAGGAGGTGCCAGGCTGGGCCTGGAGAACTCCTCCATCCCTGGGCCAGCTGGAGGGAGATGCTGACTGGACTTCAGCAGCTCCCATAGTTTGAGTGGAAGAGGTAGCGAGCAAAGACGGGGGGGGGGGGTTCTTTGCTCCCTCCCGCCTCTGCTCATGGCCGAGCAGCTGGAAGGCTGGGGAGAAGGTCAGGCATTCTGTAGTCTCAGCAAAACTCCACGGAGGGAGGCAGAACGGGGGCCGAGGCTGCAGTTCCACCCAGCAGAGACAGCCCAGAAGAGTGACTCAGCCTCCCTCCCGAAGGTGGGCAGCCCAGAGGCATTTCAGGCGCCACCATCTGCTCTTGCTGGATGGCTCTGCCTGTTGTGTCCTTGTGCTGGACGGCAACCTGCCCCTCCCCCCCGGCCTTGCCCACTTGTCCCGTGAGAGCAGCCTTGCCCTGGCCGCGTGGCCAGAAGGGAGGATCAACCCTCCGTCCCTGGCTTGGAAGGATCCCTTTCAGGCTGAGCTGTGAAAGACGGAGCCCTCAGGCTCCAGGGAGGGACTCCGATGACAGGCCCAGCAGCGGGACAAGAGCGCTGGGAAGGGGGGAGGCTGGTCTGATCCCTTCTTCTGCAAGTCAGGCCTAGTGCTGGGGGCAGCCAGGCTTTCCCTCTCCCGCACTGGACCCCAAGGACAGCTGCTAAGAGCCCATTCCAAGGACCAGCTGCAGCCCTCCTGCCATCCAGTCCCTCCCCCTTCTCTGGGTAATCCCCCATGAGCTCTGCCCTCACCTCCCCCTTTCCCTCTGCAGCCTCTGGGCTCTGCTCCCATCTCTCCTTCCAAAAGACTTCCCTAGGGACCCCCCCCCCCGTCTTGTCCTCTCCTTTTCCTGCCCCCAAAGCAGACAGCAAACATCCTGGCAGCTTCATTTCCTGGCCCCGNCCCCCCCCCCCCCCGCGCTCCAGGCGAATCTCTCCGATTGGATGGGAGGAGGGTCGCTCGGGGCGCCCTGCGTGGGCGGAGGGAGCCATCGCGACCAATGGGAGTGCTCGCACGAACGCCTCATCTCCATAGAGTGGGCGGGCGGAAGGAAAGCCCCATGCGCTGATTGGCTGCCCGGTAGGAGGCGCTGCCCGCCGCGGAGGCCGCCCCTCGACTGCGGCTGGGGCAAGGGCGACCCCTGGAGGCGGCGTTTGCAGCCTCGTCGCCCGGCGTTCCTGTCCCGAGCCTGGAGGCGCCGGGCTGAAGCCGTGCGATTGGCCCGGGAGAGCTCGCTGGTCCCCCGGCGCAGGACGGTTCCGCTGCGCTGGTGCTGGCGGAGAGCCGAGACGGCCGCCTCCTCGGAAGAAGCGTCCGGTGAGGGCTTCAAAAGCACCCCCACTTTTGAAAATGTTTGGTCAACTTAAGGCAGGGGAGACCCCTAAAGCCCCTAAAGCCTCTTTTCCTCATCACAACCACCATGCAAGGTGGGCTGGCTGAGAGAGAGGGCCGATCCTCCGCTAAAGGGAGGATTAGAACTCGCATCTCCCCGTTCACCGCTGCACCAAACTGGCTGTTGTGTAATATGAATCCATTTAATCATGGCTTATGCAATAAGAATAATATTTTTAATTGAATATGTGTGAGGACTAGCTCAATCTTCTATTTTACCATTCATGAAATCCTAGTTTTTCATGTTTCCCTGCATGAAAAGCAGCTGACTTATTGCCCCCGAGTGGCCACTAACTGCCCATCCGTGTTTACTCTCTTGACATTTCTGTGTCCCAGTGCAGGTGCGACAACGGCCGGGGAGGGTCCAGCCCCCCCCCCCCCAGAAGGCCCCATCTGTAATCCCTCCTTAGGGCCACCTCACTCTTTTACAGCCTTTTAACCCCAACACAAAGAATGGATAATTCAGCAGAAGAAATTATTGAAAACTCCTTCCAAGTCAGTTCTTAATTAGATCCCAGTAATCACATTACCATCCAAATAGGTTAGCATTTATTTGATTAGCTGCTTATGCTTTGTATGTTTTCAAGTTGCACAGAACTTTGCAAGCATCAACATGGATTAAGGTTTCTTAGCAACACAGGAGGAAGATTAACATTAACCCGGGGATATTCAGTTACTTGCCATCCAACCTTTTACTAATTCTGATGGGTTTGTTTATAGCTGGCCACCCAATCGTCACGGTGGCCTCCGCATCCAACCTCCTTTCTGCTGATAGAAGGGGTTTGGCTGCTGCCTTCCAATCATAGGGTTGGAAGAGACCTTTGAGGTCTTCTAGTCCAACCCCCTGCTCGAGCAGGAGACCCTAGACCATTTCTTCTGTGCAAGGGCTTTTCTCGGTGGAGCAAAAATCTTTGCTGCCCCAAAGAGCCCTTTCTGACCTGGGAAAAGCAGCTGCAGACCACCGGCCCAGACGGGGGCCAGAGCCCACCCAGCTGTGCTTGGGTTCACGGACTTCCTGTGAGAGCGGGGGGGGGGGGAGGCACTCGGTGGCACAAGGGGCGGTGGGTGAAGGCGTCCAAGGCAGCGATTTCCAGCCTTTTGAGGAGGGGGCTCATTCCTTGGCATAATGCCTGGAGAGGTAGACATTTTTCCCATCGTACTCCGATGTGGTCAGGCACTTGAGGAAGAAGTGCCCCAGGTCATGCTTTGAGATGACTCGGGCACCGCTCGAGGTGTTCACAGTTACGGTGTAGTCGCCGGTGAGGGGCTGGTCACCTGCAGGAGGAAGAACACCCATTGCCAGAAGCTGCATGCAAAGCCCACCTGCGCCAGCCGTGCAGCCCCAAGACTTGGCTCAGCACCAGCTGAGGAATAGCACTGGAAATGGGGCGCAGGTCCACATTAGGGGGCTCAGGTTTTTTTCACGGGTGGGAAATGGTTTTTTGTGCGTGGTTTTTCTGACACCTCCCCAGTCACAAACCCTTCCTGCATCCAGACTGATCCGTCAGTTGCTGGTCACTCTGCCCCCACCACCCAGATCTCTGCCCAGGACGCACCTGCAATGTGAGGTGGCATGACGTAGACGCAGTCCAGGCCAGACTCCTTCAGGATCTGCTGCATGCGGATGTGGTCTTCGGTCACTGGCCGCAGCCTGGCAGGAACCTTGTCCGGGTCCCACATCAGGAAAGCTGCAAGAGACCCACAGCCCCAGGCCAAGTCGACTCAGCCCACCTCTTTGCGGAGAGAGGGGGGGAGCGTCCAGGGGCACCTCAGCGCCCCAAGATGAACAGAGAGATGCGGTCAGATGAGGGCTGAGGAGACCAAGGAAGGCAACCTCCCCATGGGGCCCTGTGAGGCCCCGTCCCCTGTCTGGCCTGGAGAAGATCAGAGGTGGGGCCAGCATCTCACTGACATTCGTTTCCTTCCAGTTGCCTCCAAGACCTCCAACTGCCTGGCCAGTGGAAGCGCCTCTCCATTCTCTTCCCTCCTAGGGACCCCAAGGCGGTTCTTTTCCCCAAGGAAACCCGGGGCTGTCAGACAGGTGTGGGGGGGGGGGCTTCTGGCCCTTTGCTCAGCTGCAGATCCTACCCAGGAGGCAGGAGGAGGTGACCTCCAGGTATTTCACGGGACGCCTACCTGAGAGACAGACCACCACTTTGCCGATGCTGCAGGACTTCATGGCTGCCACGATGTTCCGGGTGCCTTCGGACATCATGGTGGTGGGACCTGAGGGGCGGAGAAGGAAACTCCCATGAGCCCAGGGCCTCCGAAGAGGGAGAGGCCGGGGACGAAGCACAAGCGTTCCTACTGAGGTCGTTGCGGGTGCCCAAGACGATGATCACGGCGTCCTGTCCCTGCACAGCTCGGTCAACGTCTGCCCGGTTCAGCACATCTCCCACCACCACTTGTGCTGGCTGGAGGTCAGGGGGCAGCCGGGCAGGATCCCGAACCAGCACCGTCACCTGGTAGCCTGTCAAGGGGGAAGAGAAAGCAGCTGGTCAAACCTCCTCCCCCAAAGCCCTTGGAGGGAGGAGCAAAGGAAGCCTCAGGGCAGGGGGAGAAGCCTTCAGCCCTTTGCCCCGAATGGGTTGGCGAAGGGGGGGGGGATTCAGAGGAGGAATTTATGCTCCCCCCACCGTCCTTCTGGCCAGCGCTCTCGCCTGTCCTTCTGCTCCGGCCACCTTACGGGCGGAAGGGAAGAAGTTTGGTGTCCGTTTCCCTTGGTTACATTCCTTTTTCTGCAACACTGTCTGTCCCCTTTAACGTCCAATTGTCTCCTCAGGTTGTTCAGCATTAAGTGCTTTGCCTTTTTAAAATAACTTCAGGGAATTCTTTTCTTGGCTTGTTCACATATTTAAGAAATAAATTACAGAGGAAATGCTAAACCTGTTTAGCCTGGCGTAATTTTTTGCATTACCATTTTTTGTGTGGTAAAACATTCTTTTTTAGATCTAAAGCCTCTTTCAAGCACACCAGCCTTCTTTAGGGACTATTTTATATGTTCTGCCAGTGAAGGGCATTTTATGCCACCTACTACCCTTAAATGGGTCGTTCCAATTAATTATTTTGTGGTGGATTTTTTTTCCTTTGACAATTATTGAGCTGCTCTGGGCAATTCTGGCCTGTGTCCTTTGTCTGTGCCAAGTCTGGGAGCTCAGGACCAACCAACCCCCTCAGAGCAGCTCAACTCCACTTAAATGTAATCCAAGCCTCCCTTCCCCCACACCACCCCATGGCTCTGAAGCTTCCTTCCCCCCCCCTCCATGACTTCAGCCAGTGACCCAGAGGACCTTTGTACTTTCAAACTCAGAGAAGCCCCCCCCCCAGGGCCTAATCCTACAATCCTCCAACTCTCCCCACCTAGGTTGACCAGCCCAGAGCCCACCACTCCCCAGTTATGGCTGCAGTGCCCATCCAGAGGGGCATTGGGGACCCCCCCCCCCTTTTCACTTCCTTATCCAAAACAATTGAGGCAAGCTTCCCCCCCCCCCCGTCTGTCTTGCAAAAGGGGGGCGGGAACACCAGCAATATGTCTCCCCAGCAGAGGTAGGCCAGCCCCCCCCCCTTGGCTGGAGGAAAAGGGGGGACAGAACAGCCTCCAGAATTAGCTCAACTCCGAAAGAAGCCAAAAGGCCCCTGCAAGGCTGGTCCCAGACTCTCCTCCTTATCACTGCCCAGCACACGGCAAGCAGCGGGGCGGGGAACGCCGGGCGAGGTGTGGTAGCGAGTCTCAAGCACCGAGCCAGCCTGCCAAGCACACTGGAACACGGCCAGGCCTGCTTCGGGGTTCAGTTCTGTGGCCTCACCCGCAGCTAAACCAAGCTCCCATCTCCCGAAACCGCCCTCGGGACGACGGTCTCAGCGGTAGCAGCAGCCCCAGGGGAAAGGCAGCCTTCACCCGGAAGCCTTGAATCTTGACCAGCCCCGCCACCCACACACAGCCGCCCCGGGTGCCAGGCTCCTTCGGCACCCACCCACGCACCCCCATTGTCAGCCGCTGCGCCGCTTCTTCGGGGGGGCAGCCGTGTCCCGAGCGCGGCTTTCGCAGCCGGGGGGACGGCGCGGCCCTTCGCGGGCCCCCGTTGGTTCTGCCCCCCCCCCAAGCCGACGCCCCCTGCCCTGCCTCACCCGCCTGCAGGGCTTGCGCCAGGGTGGCCAGGCCCGTCATGCCGGTGGCGCCGAAGAGGGCGATTTTCTTGCAGGCTGCGGCAGCCGGGCCTCCAAGCGCGCGGCTTCCTTCCATGCCGTCGCCTTCTCGCCACTCCAGCCCGGGGACGAATCAAGCCCTTCCGCCTGGAGCTCCGCCCGAAGAGGCCGGGCCAGCGGAAGGCGGCGCTTGGCCGCTTCGCTTCCCCCGGCGGACAGGTCGCCCGTCAGCCGCAGCCAGGGGCCGAGCCCCGCGGCCTCACTCGGGATCGCGGCAGAAGGAGCGACCGAAGCCCGTCTCCTCCTCCGCCGGCGCGCCTGCCTCCCCTCCCCTGGGCGCCCGAGGGAAGCGGCCGGTGGCCGTCTGAAAAGGGGCGGGAGCGGTTGATGCGCTGGGCGGAATCCAGTCTGAGCCTCCTCGGTCGAAGCGCCTTCCTGGCAATTGGTCCCCGTCCCCGGGCTTTGGCAAAAGAGGGCAGCGCAGAAAGAGGAGGGGAGGGGAGGCCTTAGCCGGAGCCCAGCCGGCAGAGCAAAGGTGCAGGGCTCTGCCGCCGTTCTCTCGGGGCAGCCGTCCCCGCTCCCGGCTCCCCGCTCCCCGCTCCTTGCCCAACCGCGCGGCTCAGCCATGCGGGGCCGTCCGTCGCGCTTCCTCCCATTCGGCCTGGTCGGCTCAGTTACCGGCGAGAGCAGCCGCCGCCTGCCTCGCGCCTTCCCGTCCTCCAAGGTGCCGGGCGTTGCTCCGCTTCTTTCCGCCGCAGCCGCGGCTTCCACCTGAAGCCCCTCCTCGGCACTCGCAGCCGCGGGAAGCCAGCGCTGCGCTTCCCCTCGTTCCAACCGGCACCCGCGGCTCGCGTGGAGAAGCCGGCGGCCGGGCGGAGGTCAAGGACGGGCGCAAGGTGACGACCCGCCTGCTACCGCAGACCCACCTGGGCATCTCTCCGGCGGGCGCGGGCTGCCTGGCCGCGTGCGCCGGGGCTGCTGAGCGGCGGCAGAANGTCTTGTCCTCTCCTTTTCCTGCCCCCAAAGCAGACAGCAAACATCCTGGCAGCTTCATTTCCTGGCCCCGAGGGCAGGGCCGGTAGCGCCAAGACCTTTCCTCCCATTGTCTCCTGGATGGCCCCCCCAGCCCCACTCCTGGCACTGGGCCGCCCAAGCCCAGGTGAGGGGAGCACTGGCACAGCAGCTGTCAGGAAAGGGACCAACTCCCTTCCTGAGGCGGAACCCCATTCTCAGTTGCTTAAGGCAGGGAGAGGAGCTTCCCTGGCCTTCCAGAGTTCCTGATCAAAGAGGAAAAGCCGTTTGCAGTCAGCTAGAAGCTGCCGCCATCTCTGCCAAGAGGGGCTCTTCCTGTGTGGGTTGTAGTACCAAGCCACCCTCACCCTTTCCAACCCAAGAAGCAGCAGCTCTTGGGAGATTCGGGAAGCAGAGCCCAGGTGCCTACAGGTGAGCATGGGCAGGGGCCAAAGCCTGGGCAACCCAGCAGCAACTGGACCATCCAGGTTCCCCGAGGCTGCCACTCCGGCCAGGAGAGCCCCCCCCCCCAGGGTGCTTTCTTTTAAAGAGCAGGGCAGCTCCAAGGCAGCTCCGAGGCCACCGCGCAGAGCCACCAACGCTGGCGGCCCTTTGGGGCCCGTGTGGATTCTGCAGACCAGAACTGCTGCTCCAATTAAGTAAAAGATGGGAAAAGGAAAGTATCAGTCAAAGGTTGAAAGAGCCGCCTGACCCGGGAACCAGCGGCTCTGGGGACATTTGGCTAATGTGGAAGGAGAAAAAGCGGCTGCCCTCCAAACTGGAGTTGGGCCAAGCTCAGCAAGGTCCCTCGATCCCCCCCCCCCCGTCACTGCCTTTCCCTGGCCGCGGGGCATCCGAGATTCTCCTCGTGGCTACCCGAGGGCAGGGGGCTGCCGGGCCGACCGGGGGAAAGCGGAGGGCACGCCTTCTCCTGTGGCCGGCTCGGAAAGAGCGCGGAGGCTGGGAAAAAGGCGTCGAGCTGAGCCTCGCCTCGCCGGCTCCCCCGGCCAGCAGATCAGCGGCGCCCACCGGCCCAGCGGGAGTCCGCGCGCCCTTCCCTTCCGCGCTTGCCGCGCCCAGTGGGCCAGGCTGGGAAAGGGCCGAAGGACGCCGGAGCTCCCCTCCCCTCGCCCAAGACCGGCGCGGCTCTGCACAGCGAGGCGCTCCGGTCTGTCCAAGCGCCGGCCCCTTCAGACTTACCCGAGCCGGTTCCTCCGCTCCGCTCGCTCCGCTCCACAAAGCTCAACCGCCGGTCTGGCTGAGGCTCCGGGCGCGGTCCAGCAGGAAGCGGGCGGCTCTGGCTGACCCTCCATCCCGTGGGTGTCCGAGGCGGGCGCGGCGGGGCCAGGGCAGGGTCTGGGCGGCGTCGAGGCGGCTCCGAGGCAGCCCCGCCCAGAGAGATGTTGGGACCGAGCGGCCGCCAGGCACCAGCTGCCAGGCGGAAGGAGGGGCCGGGCGAGAACGCCTCTCTTTACCGGAGCAGGAGTTTTGTACTTATTGTATTTTAATTGGTCTTTTAATTCTGCTTTTAAATGTTGTTGTTTGTCCATGAAAACAGGAGTGTCAAATGATAGCAACGGTAATTCCAGATGCACTTAGGAGAACTCTGATTCCTTTGGGAGTAAGAAAAGCCCCCCTGCATGCCTCCAATTCTCCCTCCAGCAGCGCAGAGGAGACTGGAGTCCAAATGCTCGGCCACATTCAGAGGTGTTGTAAGGGGGGAGCAGGGGAGAGCCGGCCAGCCACCCACTGAAGAAAGGAGATCTCCAGGTTCCCATGGGTGAATCTGGGCCTGGCATCCAAGTGAGGAATCAGCTTTACCTCAACAGCCTGGGCACAATGAGAGGCCTTCGCCAGAGGCCACGGGGGGGCTGCCAGGAAGACTTCCACCCCATCTCAGCCACCAGGCTGGGGAAAACGCCCTCCTGGCCCACCCTCCTCCTCCAATTGGGAGCTGGGCTTCTTCGGAAGGATGGGAGAAATGTGCCCCTCCTGCCCTCTGCTGGGTTGGTGCTCCAGCCAAGTCGCCCAGGAGGCTGCTTATCAGAACAGCACCATGGCGCGGGGTCTCAAGAGGTGCCAGCTGGGGTGCCTCTTGGCAGTGCAGTGGGCTACACAACTTTGGAGAGCAAGGTGTGTTTGTGGATGAGGTCACGGCAGCTGAGTGAGGCTGAAAACGTCCCCTTGCAAGCAGACCCAGAGAACCAGCGTCNTCCTGGATTGGCTGCTCAGCCAGGACGGCGATAGCGAGCCCGGCGTAGCGGCCCCGCCGGGCGGCTGGGCTCGGCTCTGCTCCTGCGCCCATTGACGAGAGCGGCCGCCAGCAGAAGCTTGCCTGGTCGCTGCCGCCGCTCAGGCGGCGGGGAGGATAAGGCCCCGCAAGTGGACGGTGCTCAGGTGAGGTTGGCCCGGCCGCGGCTGCGCTCGGGGGAGGAGGCTGTGGGCGCCCCTGGGCTCTGACGACCAGAGCAGGAGCGGGAGCGAGGCGGAGAAGAGCCGGAGCCGGTTCTCCGGAAGCTTCTCGGAGGGGAGGGAGCAGGCCGGGAGTCCGGCCGCACAGCAGATGGGCCGCACTCCCGCCGCCCTTCGGGACCAGCCGTTCCCGCAGCAGGCCAATTTCCCCGGACGGCAGAGGAGCAGAAAGGCGGCTCTTGTCTCCGTGGGGCAGACCCCTCTGTGAGCCTCTGGCGGCTGCTGAAGGGCTGAGGAGGGGTCTTCTGAGCCCTGGACGGGGTCTGGTCCCATCCCGATAGAAGGAAGGGGAGGGGGTGGCCCTGCAGCCTCCCTTCCTGAGCCCAGTTTAGCCAAACAAGGCCCCGGTCGCGGTTCCTTCCCTGACCCGATGAAACAGCACCTCTCCTTCGGCCTTGCAGTCTTGGGCTCCAGATCCCTAAACCGGGCAAAATGTGAGCTGCATATTTGGGGTGTCCAAATGTGTAGGTAAATTATGCCCATCTTGCTCCCCTGCAAGGGATCAGGCGGCTTGCTGGACAGGGGTGTTGCCCCAGAGACCCCCCTCCACCTGCCCTGGGGGTTGGGAGCAAGGGAGTTGGTGGTGCCTTGTGCTGAGTTCCATCAGAGAAGGCACAAGGAGCTGCTTCGCCCACCACCCTCGCCCACCACCCGCTTCCCGGCCTTTCTGGATGGAGGACTCTTGATGAGGCCAGGAACCCTCATTTCCCTGAGCGGCTCCGTAAGATGGCCAGGCACCCAGGGCTCCTGAAACCACTGAGGAAACCACGCTGCCTTGAATATGGGTGGGTGGGGGAATTATTCTGCCATGCCATGTGGCTGTGGCCTGATGCTGTGAGTCCCCCCCACCAGGGCTTTTGCCCTGGCACAATTCGCCCCCCCTCACACCTCCCCCCCCCATTAACCTCTTTAGATCTTCTCTCAGCATCATTTGCCTTTCAGCCCCAGCAATAAATATCTATCCCAAGCCTCCTTCCCCACAGACTTTCGTTGGGCTCAGACTATGTCCTATCACCACTCTCTTCCTGCAATTGAATCAGGAGGAAGCCCCCTCCTCCATAATTTAATCTGCAGCTGCTTTGCCCCAGATTTTCCTGGGGGGGGGCACTTCTGACTCCCAATCTTCTGAATGGGCCCGGGGAGGAGAGGGGAGTCTAGCAGTATGCAGAAAGTTTTGGACGGACACACACACACTCCTCCCAGCTAGTAGGGCAGTCTAGCTGCCTCGAGGGTCTCCAGGTTGCACCCTGAGGGAAAGGGGGGGGCTAGTTCAAACAGATGAGCTGTGCCGCCCTCCCATCTGCTTTAAGGGACAGCAAGGCCTAAGCACCAAATTCCCCCCTCTTGCCTTGTGTCTTTTCCCAGCCTTGCCTGGCTGGCTGCACTGGGGACTGATTGAGAGGGGGGAGGCGTCTGCCAGCCCCTCTCCATCTTCACTAGAGAATCACCCAGTTGGTGGCATCTCGCACAGCCTTTGGGGGGCCAGGTGTAGGCGTAACAAAGCAGGTGTGCCCCCCCCCCCGGTGCTCCCTTTCAAGGGCTCCCATTTTCTCTCTCCTCCTTTTTTGGAATTCTGAACTCAGCATGTCAGCGGCTGGTGCAGCTTTGGAGGTTCATGTGGCCCCTTTATGGGGCTCCCAGGAAAGCAGCAACATGGCAAATGTTGCACCGGCTCAGCTGGATAATCAGGAGGCCCAACAGCAACTCAGCCACACCCGATGGGAAAGCACCGACCCTCACCAGCCCCGGCCTTGGGAGGAGGCCTCCTCGGGCACTGTCAAGCTCTTCGAATGCTCACGGATCAAGGCCCTCGCGGGTAGGCCTCCTCCTCCCCCTGGGCTCCTCTCGTTGGGCCGGAAAGGATATTGCCGATGGGGAGGGGCACCAAAACGGGGCTGGGTGAGGGTGCTTCCCCTCTGAAATGGTGCAGCCAATGTGTCTTTCAATAAAGAGGGGTGGTGGCCTAATGCCATCCCTCCCCCCAAATTTTGCCAGACGAGCGAGACGCAGTGCAGAAGAAGACTTTTACCAAGTGGATCAACTCCCACCTGGGCCAGGTCTCCTGCCGAATCGGTGACCTTTACACAGACCTGCGGGACGGATACCTGCTGACCAAGCTGCTGGAAGTTTTGTCTGGGGAGCAGCTGGTATGGGGATCTCTTGGCTTCTTCAGGGACGACTGCCCCAGAAGACGAGGGGGGGGGGGTGCCTCTTAGGGCAGAGGGGCTGGTCGCTCCTGTAAAGAGGGGTGGAGTCACCTTGAGTTTTGCTGGGTAACTTCAGGCCTCGGGGCCAAAGGGGGGCTGAGCCCTGAAAGGGAAGGCAGAGGAAGGGGGAGGGTCTTGCTCTCTGCAGGGCTGTGGGGGGCTGTTGAGAAGGGTAGTTGGTAAAGGCAGAAGGCCGGGCTGTTTTGTTGTAAATCTCTTAACCAAATTCTGGAATTCTGCAACCGGTTGTAAATGCAAGCTG